ACATGTATTTTGTTTAATGCAAGACATGAATGCATTTAACCTGCAATTACAAATGCATAAATAATGTTTTGATATATTAAACATAAAACGTTGAATACTGATATTTGAAATGATTTAAAACATGAAAAAAATCAAAAAAAGAAAGAAGAAAAGAAAAAAAAAAGCAGAAATTTGAAATTAAAACCGCCAGCAGATCACGTTTAATAAGAGAGTCATTGCGATTGAACCCGAATCATTTAAACGGTTGATTCATTCAAGAACGAAACACCGTCATGATGCTCAGAGACACAAAACAGCGCTGTGGCTATATTCGGAATGATTTTTGTTGGCGAAATAGAGCAAAAACAAGCAATATGGTGTCTAAAACGTAAGTCTCTTAATTAACTTATTGTTTATTGAATTCAATGTCACATTTGTAATCATGGTCATTTTTGGAGAAAAACGGCACTCTTCGTGTGAAATTGAACAACTATATGAAGTGGTATAAATATATAAATTTTCTGCCATCATGTCTTGAATTTGTGATCATTCTAAATGCATTTTAATAGACTGAATAATGCAGTGAAAGAAAACACACTAAATGTGCACACGCACTAGTCTAGACTTCACGTAATGCGTGCGCTCTGCGGATGTTTTGAATGGTTTTTGCAAAATACTCGATAATGTCAAATCGCACATCGTTAAAACAACAATTACGATATTATTACAGACGATATATATCGCACACCCCTAGCTGTGAGACGCGCTTCCTGTGTGTGTATGCTTCAGTGTCTGCACTCTGAAGACCGGACCGAATTGAGTTCTCTCTTGCGTCGTCAGATTTATCTAGATGTCTGCTCTTCTCTTACTCCCACATATTGACATTTTTGAACGTTTTATGAGACAGGCAGCAAGTGTATTTTGGCTTATGTCCCGCCGGTTCATATGCATGCATCCAACCTCCGAACCACACAGCAGAATCGTTCTGAATGAATCTCTTCCCAATTTATCCCTCCCTAACATTTTCGTCTCATTTTTATTCGTTGACGAAAATGTCAATAAATATTCATCATCGAAATTGTCGTCAACTTGCACTGCTTACCTCATCTTGGTCTCTTGTCTCATTTCAATCGCTTCCCAAAACAAGCTAGGTCTGTTTCGCTGGGACTGGACAGGTCCTTTCCTGTGAGAAAAGGTTAAAAACAAGGAGACTTTTTATAGATCTTTGACATTATTTCACACAATAGGACATTTGTGTAAACATTTTGAGTTCCGCTTCAATATAAGGCCAGCAGGGTTCTATTCAACCTGCAGATGCTTCTGCCAAACCTGTCAAACTAATGTACGCTACCAAATACATAATTAAAAGAGGTTACTGTCAATTCCTTGTCGATTTAAAAAGAGAACTGTGTTTATTATGCATTTCACAAACGTCTGGAGAGATGAAAAGGAAACATTTCCGGTCGCAACCTGTTGACAAATGGATATTTTTCTAGTGGCGTTCAACTGTGTAAACTACTGATTTAAATGGATAAAGGTCACTGAACGGTTTTGAACTCCTGCCGAGAGGAAAGGTTTAGAGGTAGAAGAGGGCACGTTGCGTGGTCGCAGGGGATGAAACGGCTGAGGAAAAACAAACGGTGCAGGGGCGGCCCCACCTCACACCTCCCGTTTTCCAGCAGCTCAAAGGCTCCAAAAGTGCCTGGGCGCCTGTCTCAGCCGCGAGTCCTGTTCGTACAGCTGCATCCTTTTCCTCCAAGCAGCTCCTGATAACACTCGCTTATTTATTGCTCTAGGGTCTTTTTCAGTGTGGCTTTCAAAGGGGAGACCTTGCCTTCAAGTAACCAAGGTATCCTGTAAGCAGCCTAAACAAAAGCCAGGCAGAACAAGCTTTCCACTGAACACAGTGGACAACAAGTGGAGCCCAAAAATGACCTTTTTACTTTTGAAAAAGTGATCTATCAACTAACAAAGGGTTAGTTTTGGGTGTAACTACAAATGCCACTGGAAACCTTCAGAGGATTAACGCAACTAAAATTTAACATTGAGTCATGTACTGATCGCTTTTGCTTTTTCCATATAACTGCAAGGAATGGGGACCATTTATTATCAAAGTACCATCATGAAAACCTGTCCATAGGACTCAAGTGTTATATATTCTAGATATTCAAAAGTCAAATGACAGCTTTGTGCGAAATCACACTGAAATTTAAAGGGGTCATGAGAAATCAAATTTGCCATGATCTTTTGGCATATAAGAGGTATTTGTACCAATAAAACATCCTGCAAGTTTCACAGCTTTAAACGACCTCCTCATTATAAACAAAGCATTCATTTAATCAAAGCTTCAAAAACGGCCTGTTCTTGATCTGAGGCCCACAGTGACGTCACTGGGGCACAAACATTTGCATAAACACTGCCTCTAGAGCAAGACATCGTCGAATAGTCTGCCCACTGGCGTTCACTCGCTTAACAGCTGACACTTGATTACGCAGAATGCGAGTGTCACGTCGCGTCATAAGCAAATAGAAATTACAATCACTGCCGCTATCTTGTCTACACTGGAACCAGTAGACCAGAGATGCACGTTCGCATGACTGTTTTATTTTTGATCATGTTGTCAAAACACTCACATGCAATAGCGAGGGGGTCTTGATATTATTTCCTATGCAATAACGTTAGCCAATCATAACAGTGGCTGATTCCTGACAAGCCTTAAAGGACCCGCCCCTTAAAACAGGTCATTTTAGAGAATCAGAATGAGGGATGAAAAAAAAATGTTCCCATATATTTGTTTTTTTTGTGCAAATAAAAATAAAATTATAAGTAAACCTCAAGGAATATATTAAAATATATTTTTTTAAAATCCATGTCATGACTCCTTTAAGTCACTGAAAGTCTTTCCATCCAGTAAGCTATTAATCACGGTGACTGAATCATTAAATCAGTGAGGTGAACTTACTAGATCAGTCTGATTCCTGTTCAATCACAGAATCATTGAGCTGAAGTCAAGATCTGGATGAGTCCGATTCATGATGAGTCACTCAAACAGTAAACTGAATGCAAGAATTAGATCGGTCCAATTCATAATCATTCAGGTCAGTTTTGTGAACTAAATCAACCAATTCTTCTTTAAAAAATCATTGGGAATCAAGACATTTTCTGTGAATTTTGTCATTATTTTGGAGCTTGACAGCACTAGTCCTCAATTAATGTCATTATATTGAAATTTATAGCTTGGATATACTTCAAAGCAAAACAATTGTTGTGGTAAACTAAATAGTTTGTTTGTGGTGAAAGGAATAGTGTCTGAAAACCACAGATGAGTGCAGTGTAGTCTACTGGTGCATACAAGGTTATGAAATCCTGCTGGAAGCAAGGTCACCGTTGAGATGGCAACGAATGTGACAGAACTCTGGCCAAACCAGATTAGCAATCACAGAGGCTTTTTCAGATCGACTTGCTAATCTGACAAGCGAAATACTAATTGACTGCCTCATAAGACACCTGGATAAATTCTAAGCTGTTCAGTTGCAATTAAATGAACAAGGAAAAAGGATTTTCTGGAACAAGAAGTGAAGGTGACAAAAAAAAGATGAGGGGGTGTTCTTTTAACTGGCTGAGCGGGAAATAGTAATGATGAAAATTTTATATGCACTGGTGTGTTTCTGAAAGGAAATCAGGTCAATAATTAATGAAGGGGGTCCAAAATTGTTCCGTTCATCTGTGTAACAGTTTGACCCACTCAGCCACTCAGATGATGAAGTGCTTGCAGTTCAACTCACATCAAGAAATACTGGATCAGTTGATAAATGTGCAGCCAATTAAATCTGGGTTACTGGTTTACTCTGCTCATGTCTGAGCTGGGCGCGGGAGACGCTGGTGCCTTTCTCCTGTTCTGAAAGTCATCAATCTTTGAAACAAGCAACCTCGCGGCTACCTCCAGTCCAAAACATCTTAATGAGATTGAGAGAAATATATGAAGTCGCACCATCTTTATACGTTCCACTTGATTTTACTGACAAAAGATAATCAGCAAGAGGATATTCAACACCAAGAGGCCTCTATACACGAAATTTAGGGTGTTAGTAGTCAAAAGTTGACACAACTACTCACTTTATTGCTGTTTTTAGAATAAAAATCATCCAAATTATGAAATAAAAATATGGAAATGATTTGGTGTTTAAAAAACAAACAAACAAAAACAATACTTTTTATTTAAATTTTCTACAAAATAACAGCCCGTTGCTTAGATAAAGGGAATATGTAATTTTATAATAACAAATAATGTTAATATAATAAAAAAATTATATAATAAATAATACATTAAAAAGTAAAAAGTAAAATTAGAATTTAATAATATTTTTTTGTTCTGAGAAAATATTCTTACAAATACAATTCAAAAATGTGGGGACAGTATTTATTTATTTTTATTTTTTAAAGAATACTTTTATTTAGCAAGGATGCATTAATTTGTTCAAAAGTGACTAAATGCATAAATATTACAAAAATAAAGGCCGTTCTTCTGAACTTTCAATTAATTAAAGCATCCTAAAAAAATTTATCACCATTTCTACAAAAAAATTAAGCAGCACAACCATTTACAACATTAATAATTCGAATAATAAACATATGAAGAAATGCTCCTTAAGCACCAAAACACCATATTAAAATGATTTCTGAATGCTCATGTGACACGGAAGACTGTAATGACTGTTGAAAACTCAGCTTTTCAATCACAGGAATAAATTACACTTTAAATTATACTCTAAAAGAATTATTTTACATTATTTTTTAAAATATTATTGGTTTTTACTGTATTTTGCACTAATAAATGCAGTCTTGGTAAGCATAAGAGGCTTCTTTTAAAAACATAAATACTGAGGCCCAAACCTTTAAACAGTAGTGTGTATTGGCATAATTTAGTTTTTAAAACATATTTCAAACATTCAAGCATCTAAACACTTTATGATGATGGTACACTGACTGGTATATAAAAGAGTTTAATGGTCTCCATATTAACTAAAGTATTTACATTTCACATTTACTTTAAAATGCGTAGCACGCTTTTAAGCATTAGATATAACTAGTTTTTCTGTTAAATCAATTAAAGGTCTTAACCTGGCAGTGGCAATGGCTTTGGTGAGACGGACTCAGGAAACGTACAAAGGGTGAGGCCTTCTATGGGTTACAGAGCAACCAATATCAGCAAAAGGTGATCCAATCAACAAAGCCTCCACAGGGGAGATGGGCAGAACCCCGACGCTATGACACAATGAGCCAACTGCCATGACAACAAACTACAAATCTGTTAGCAGTGGTAACAACCAGTGTCACGTTCTCAAAGACATCTTAGTTCCACTTTCACACACAGCAACATAAACCTTGAACACACTGTTATAGATCAAATTACGAGAACACATTCTACTTCCAAGAATTAATTTGTCATAAACCATAATCAACCATAACCAGTGGAATCGCATAGCAAAAAGTATGAATACCTTTTACTGTTAACCTCTACATGGTTAAGGTTTTAGAATGTGAAGTCTTTTACTAATGAGCTTGAGTGATGCTTTTTCACCCCAGGAAGTCACAAAATGTGACTTATGGAGGCAAAGGGCAGCCATAACCAATCAGAGTTGAGCTGAGGTCATGGACGTGAGGTTAGTGAGGTGGCCCAATTACCACAGGGGGTCGTGATGAGGTTGTGTGCGAGATATCCAGTCCGTCTCATGAGACATGAGACACATCCACTGAGAGTAAGGTCTTCCTTCTTATATTTAAACAAAGGCTATTAAAAAACACAGAGACAATGACAACAACAACATTAACATTGTTTTGGATGCTGTGTTATCTGTGGGACTCATCAGGTGCTGATTGAGGCCATTTTGAGAAGTAAGTGCGCTGGCCCATGCTCCTCACAGGAAACAGGAAGTCGAGCTTAGGAGTAGTATGCTACGGTGTCCTCTCAGGTGATAAGAGATGACAAGTTTTTCACAACATTCCTGACATTTTCTATAAACATCCATCATGGAAAATGAGACAATGTCTAAAAATACCACCCTTAAAAATGTCAAAGCATCAAGAATGCAAAACCTGAGGGCAAATAAATTTCCCACTCATAAAGACCACCAACAAACATCAGGCCGCCGTGCTTTCCATGCTGGGAAGGAAGTGAGCCTTTCAGCAGAGGTCAACAGTATGTGACAAAACATGCAGGGAGATCATTCAACTGCCAGATTACACTCAGGTTAACATGATAGTCAGAAAACTTGGAACTTCATGAAGTGATGTTCTGTACTAGAGGCGGCACGGCCTTCTGGTTAAGCTGACCGCACAATTTGATCATGCTGATCTACTGCAGCAGCGAACCATGAGCTTTTACTACATGAGCCAAAGCATACAAAGTTCAGCTGCTGAACACAGGAAGTGATGGATGGGGGGGCTTAATTTATAAAGGAAATTGAAAAAGAATACAAAAAAAAAACTGGCTTGGTTTCATGAATGTTTTTCAAATTAACACGTCATGTAGGTTATTTAAAAAGAAAAGAAACAACCTTTTACCACCAGACGTAAATAGACAAATCTGACTACACAGAGAGCAACTCAAGTGATTTCTTTGTGAAAAGGTCAATCGACGAATATAGGCACACAAATAATAATTATTATTAATTAATAGTAGTGGGCCTGGGCAAACTTCCAAGGTACCTCAAGATGACAAATCAAGCATTAAAATAAGACAAAAACTAAAATTCAAGACACTTTAACTTTTCACCTACTCAAAAATTGTTTTTTTTTTATTTCTTTAAAAAAAACAGGATTCCCACTGCCATGAAAATGCTAAATATATTAGGAAGTCTAAATTTAACAGTATTATCAGTTACAAATTGTGAGAAATCCAAAAAAAACTGAAAAGTCATGGGCTCTATTGTATGAATATTGTTGTGGACAATTAGGCACCTTGGAGTCAAAAGGTTGAGAACCACTATTTTATAGCAAAGTTTTCTCAAAATAAAGTCATGCATTATAATAGCTCATTTGTAAGACGTTGTGACACTGAGTGACTCACCCTTAGTGAATTTCGTGTAATGGACCCTTTCTTGGATGTCTTTGACTTCTCCAAACTAAAACCCTGTTCCTGAGTAGGGTCTGAAAGTATACAAAAAGAGAAGAAATTAAAATAATAAAAATTATAACCACAAAAAAAATGTGTTATCACACATAAGGCTACACACACCTAAAGCACGCCAGAGATGAAAACCAGAATTTTCTCAACATGACAATGATCACAGCAAATTTCATGTCATTTTAACATCACAATAGCACCACCTAGTGAACACTAGGCAGAAATCAAACGTTTCAAAGCTGCAATGATAAACATCCCAAGGTTCAACTGGGCTGCTCTCACTTGTAATTAAAATTACCCTTTTTTTGTGGTGGTGCTTTGCACTTCATGTTTAAAATTCAGCTTACGGTCAGTGTTGTTCCGTCCATGGCAGTTGTTAAGCTCAGCAAGGAGCTGATTAAAATCATCCTGGTGGGCAATCTAGTTTTCCTAATAACACAAAAAACACCATCAAGAATGACGGCTTGTGACTGAAAAAGCACAAAGCAGAACAAAGAATCTCAAAACCAAGAAAACAGGAATGGTTCCTCACCTCGTTGTTTACTGTAGTGCCCAGACCCAGGCTGTTGTTCTTGACTTTAACCCTGATGTGCTCTGTAGCCCCCTGTTCACTCTTGCCAAGACCCTGCCACACAAACAAACCAGGAAAAACACATGAATGTGATACAAATAGAACCATAACTTTTTAATTTCTAAGCAAGACAATGAGTTTTTTTTTTTATTACTGTTCACTGATTTTTCATCCAACAAACGCCACTAGTTTGAATCTTATTCATTTAATCTTATTCCATTCTGAAATTGTGGCCTAATGGTTAGAGTCGGACTCGTAACCCAAAGGTTGTGGGATCGAGTCTTGTACCGACAGGGATTGTAGGTGGGGGTGTGAATGTACAGCGCTCTCTCCCACCTTCAATACCACGTCTGAGGTGCCCTTGAGCAAGGCACTGAACCCCCAACTGCTCCCCAGGTGCCGCAGCATAAATTGCTGCCCACTGCTCCGGGTGTGTGTTCACGGTGTGTGTGTGCACTTAGGATGGGATAAATGCAGAGCACTAATTCCGAGTATGGGTCACCATACTTGGCCACATGTCACATGTCAAATGACGTCAGCAGGAAAAAGTGCTTAAATAAATCTGTATACATGTTTTAGCAAAGTATAAAAAAAAATTTATTAATTAAATATATATATATATATATATATAAAAACACATATATACTGTATTAGTGCTGTCAAACGATTAATCACATCCAAAATAACAGTTTTTTGTTTACATAATATATGTGTGCGTACTGTGTATATTTATTATGTATATATGAAAGCACACACATACAGTATGTATTTTGAAAATATTTACATGTATATATTTATATTCATATAATTTATATTATAAATATTTAATATATTTTTCTTAAATATATACATGCATGTGTTTGTATTTATATATACCTAACAAATATACACAGTACACACATATATTATGTGAACAAAAACTTTTATTTTGGATGCGATTAATCATTTGACAGCACTTGTTTTCATGTTTTCTCCTTTTCTTTCCAAACCGTGACAAACGTCAGTCTCCCTTTTCTGCAGAATGCGATATATCCACTCAACCAATCACAGCGCACCATTCCACGCACTCTAGACAGTAATGGCGTGCGCTTTGAATACACCCGGTATCCTAGTTTTCCTCATCTACTTTGTACTTTGTGATCAACAAACAAACTTAGTGGCTGCACGATAAATCGCATGTGATTGTCATGCGAATCTCGTCAGTAAAGCCGGTTCTGTGATTAATAGTAAAGCTCCATCATGTGCTTTCAGATGGATACACAGAGTCGTAGATCACGGACTATGCAAAATCGCGTTCATAATCGCAGATGAGTCGCATACGATTATGAACGCGATATTGCGTAGCTTGTCAGTGTAAGTGTTTTTATTAATGCCATTAATGTTTTTGTTAATACAGCGTATAGCACTAGTCAACTAAATGAATGTAACATGGCAAAGATGAATGCACTTTTGGAAGTTGAATGTAAAGAAAATGTCATTTTGGAATTTCTGTGGTCTAATGTGATGTTCTTGTTCATGATGACATTTTCTTTTTTATTGCTGTAATTAATTTATAGCACTAACAAGATGACCCGTTGAATTCATTTTGGGAGCGATGACTGATTGAATGTATTTTTAGTCCAGTGCCTGTATATAAGATTAGTATTGACCAAGTTCAGCGGCTGTCATATGTGGATCAACTTACAATGTTGTGTATTTTCAACAGTTTCAATATGAAAAATAACTTTTATATTGATTCAATGGATTCATTGCATTTTGAAAAAGAAAAAAAGAAAAAACACGTGTCATGGATTTATTGCATTTTGGGGATACATTTTTATAATAAATCTTTGAAAATCAAAATCTGCATTTGAATTTTTTTATGTTATTATAACCTAAAGATGCTATGTGAAAGCCTGAAACAGAAAATAGTGGTTTTCATCTTGCCACTTTCTTGGTAAAGAAAACACATTTATAGCGTTTTGTGAATGTACAGCGCTCTCTCCCACCTTCAATACCACGTCTGAGGTGCCCTTGAGCAAGGCACTGAACCCCCAACTGCTCCCCAGGTGCCGCAGCATAAATTGCTGCCCACTGCTCCGGGTGTGTGTTCACGGTGTGTGTGTGCACTTAGGATGGGATAAATGCAGAGCACTAATTCCGAGTATGGGTCACCATACTTGGCCACATGTCACATGTCAAATGACGTCAGCAGGAAAAAGTGCTTAAATAAATCTGTATACATGTTTTAGCAAAGTATAAAAAAAAATTTATTAATTAAATATATATATATATATATATATAAAAACACATATATACTGTATTAGTGCTGTCAAACGATTAATCACATCCAAAATAACAGTTTTTTGTTTACATAATATATGTGTGCGTACTGTGTATATTTATTATGTATATATGAAAGCACACACATACAGTATGTATTTTGAAAATATTTACATGTATATATTTATATTCATATAATTTATATTATAAATATTTAATATATTTTTCTTAAATATATACATGCATGTGTTTGTATTTATATATACCTAACAAATATACACAGTACACACATATATTATGTGAACAAAAACTTTTATTTTGGATGCGATTAATCATTTGACAGCACTTGTTTTCATGTTTTCTCCTTTTCTTTCCAAACCGTGACAAACGTCAGTCTCCCTTTTCTGCAGAATGCGATATATCCACTCAACCAATCACAGCGCACCATTCCACGCACTCTAGACAGTAATGGCGTGCGCTTTGAATACACCCGGTATCCTAGTTTTCCTCATCTACTTTGTACTTTGTGATCAACAAACAAACTTAGTGGCTGCACGATAAATCGCATGTGATTGTCATGCGAATCTCGTCAGTAAAGCCGGTTCTGTGATTAATAGTAAAGCTCCATCATGTGCTTTCAGATGGATACACAGAGTCGTAGATCACGGACTATGCAAAATCGCGTTCATAATCGCAGATGAGTCGCATACGATTATGAACGCGATATTGCGTAGCTTGTCAGTGTAAGTGTTTTTATTAATGCCATTAATGTTTTTGTTAATACAGCGTATAGCACTAGTCAACTAAATGAATGTAACATGGCAAAGATGAATGCACTTTTGGAAGTTGAATGTAAAGAAAATGTCATTTTGGAATTTCTGTGGTCTAATGTGATGTTCTTGTTCATGATGACATTTTCTTTTTTATTGCTGTAATTAATTTATAGCACTAACAAGATGACCCGTTGAATTCATTTTGGGAGCGATGACTGATTGAATGTATTTTTAGTCCAGTGCCTGTATATAAGATTAGTATTGACCAAGTTCAGCGGCTGTCATATGTGGATCAACTTACAATGTTGTGTATTTTCAACAGTTTCAATATGAAAAATAACTTTTATATTGATTCAATGGATTCATTGCATTTTGAAAAAGAAAAAAAGAAAAAACACGTGTCATGGATTTATTGCATTTTGGGGATACATTTTTATAATAAATCTTTGAAAATCAAAATCTGCATTTGAATTTTTTTATGTTATTATAACCTAAAGATGCTATGTGAAAGCCTGAAACAGAAAATAGTGGTTTTCATCTTGCCACTTTCTTGGTAAAGAAAACACATTTATAGCGTTTTGGAACCAAACTCTTCATACATATTAAAATATTTTAGTGCTTAATAAACAAAGATTTTATTTGCCAGACAACACCCACAACACTTTCACTGGCACCATCACAATAAAAAGGTACCCATGTATTTATTCATTCATTCAGATTTGTTTGGTACTTTCAAGAAGGCTATCACAAATACTACACAATTTGAACAAATCCTCAACTATGGCAGCCAGTTATATACAAACATATTTATATGGGCAGAATGTTCAATTTTAAAGTCATAACAATACATGCACGTGATCAACGTAGTTGATGTGGCAGCTGTCAAATGGGCCAAAATTCTCCCCTGAATTCGAACACCTTAAATTGTTTTTGCTTTAACGTTTTAATGCTAAAATTTATATTTGACGTATTTTGTTAGATAATGTGTTAAGCCTGTTACCTTTCCTTTGGCCCAGCCCATGCGTTCCTGCATTTTCTGTCCAAATGTGGACTCATCGTTGCTCCATGCGCTGTTTCTGGGGTCCACAGACCACTTTTGCTTACGACGAGCTTATGAAATATCAAAACAATAGGTAACGTTACGTTACGTTACAATCTCTAAACAGTAAACCACTGCAATAAAGAAACACCCACTTTCATGTTACTTTTGAATCAGAAAACATTATCACAAAGGTTGTGTGTCTATGAGATACAGTATAAAACAGAATATATGTATTTAACAACTCGTATGATTCGCCCTCATATTAAAGAGCCACGATGGCTAGCCTGTTAGCAAGCATGCCAAACAACGTGGAGGAACGCAAGAATGACTTTAATATACCACATTCATTCAAATAACATACAAATTCCTAATACAATCTTACAAAAATGGTCAACTAATGTTTAAAAACATATCAAACTAGCCTAAAATACATTTCAAATTGTAAACTCACGTTCGGCAAGCACTGACATCTGGAGGGGTCCTTGAACACATGGAGGAACAGGCAGGTCGTCCAATTTGTGCCTGATTAAAATGAATGTATTGTATAAATTAATTAACGCATTCATGACTGTCGTCTAAAACTTTACAGTATTATTATATAATATGCTATTATTTAAAACCCACAACAAACTACATCAAACACGAATTTAGATTATTTACGCCATCAATCAAAGTAATCGTAGCCTATATGCACTAGTAGTATATATTTTGTAACAGTAGATGGCGTAAGTGGGTTAACTATTTAGAATAACGTGTAATTTAATTAAATATCGAATTATTGGCCGCTTAAGGATCTCATTTGAGCTTTTATAGACTTGTTTTTTTTATTTTTTTTAATGTAACTTAATTTAATTATAACAGTAGTGGCTATCAAGCTTTAAAACAAACTTGTTTTCATGGCACATCCTAATTTTGTAAGGCCTTGCTTAATTGACATATCGTTTTTAAAGTAATTAAAATGCCAAAATTAATACCAAAGATTAAGATTAAGTAAATACCTCAGTTAAACTCCCCATGCCTGCCCTGTGTTAATGTGGTCCATATGTACAGTTTCCAAATCAAATGAGTTTATTCTGAATCATGTGGAAAGTGTTTTTACTGAGCATTTCCACAATGACTCTTACTCTCTCAGGTCTCTTAGCATTTTGCTGAAGCTGAAGCGATTACCACAGCAACCCAGATACTGAGGACACTGTCTGAACAAATGGATCAGATTTCATCACTTACTAAATTACACTTTGGACAGTCTGTGCTGAAAATGGAATCAGATTTGCGTGCAGTGTTAGCCAAGATACCCTTATGAAAAATAAAACCGCAGATTAATAAAAGGCCAAGAAATAAAAGGCTGCCTAAGGCCTAGAGTACACTTGACTGTCTTTTAACAGTTCACCCAAGAATGAAAATTCTGTCATAATTTACTCACCCAATCCTGTATGAGTTTCTTTCTTCTGTTGAACACAAAAGAAGATATTTTGAAGACTGTTGGTAACCAAACAGTTGACGGTATCCATTGGCTTCCACAGTATGGGAAAAAATACTATGGAAGTCAGTGGGGACCATATTCTTCTAAATTTCTTCTTTTGTGTTCTTTGTAATAATGGCAATTAAAAGCATTAACGTACACTTTAAATCATTATGTTATCACTTATAATAATCTTTTGCTGTGCTTTAAAGACACTATTTTGATGTGACTAACATACTAAAACGTAAAATATTTGATTCATTTGAACTTTGGTGTGTTATTTCAATGCATTCAAAGTAAAGTTCACGTACTGTTTGATCAAATGTAATAAATTGTAACTTCATCATTACAAATGTGTAATTACAAATATATTTAAATACTTTATATAACATTCCAAGGAGAAATTACGTATTTATATTTTTGTTTACCATAAATGCTTGTCACTACACTGAGCACTTTAACCATATTTCAATAAAATAAAGAAATTACATATAAACATACTTAAAGGTAATTGAGTCCTACCTAAGTGTGACAAAAAGGAACTCTTATTTGTGCTTTGCACAATTAAGCAATTTGTCTAAATTGCAGAGAAAAAATATATTCAGCCATAAATATCATCATGAGACTATAATTACTTCCAAATTTCTTGTCCTCTAATGGTGTGTGTTTAAGTTTCAGAAACAAACTAACTACAATAATAATTACCTGAGATTCCTTTCATGAACACGGTGAGGTGTGAGGAAAAGGTCTGGGGGTGAAAATAATAAAATAGTAGTGCCGACTTAAATCTATAAGGAAATCTATCATATCCTGTCAAAACTCTTTACATGTGAATTTAGAACTCCATTCTCACAAGACTGAGATTTTATGATCCCAATTTGGACATAACGCATAATTTCGCTGCAATGAGAAGCATGTCATTACGGAGGTGAAGGCTGATCTTTAGCTCGAGGTTGAAGAGTTCATCCGCTGTCTGTGGTGATATACAGTGAAAGGAGAAGAGTCTGAGTGAGTAATGCTGCTGATGTCTTATTGAATTCCCATCTCACTGGTCATTGATCCTGCTGTACGCTGCACAACCGCCGAGGTGAAAATGTCACAGATTGAATTGCCATTAGTAATCACTCAACTGGCAAGAAAGGGATGTGCTGGAATTTTCATGGTTTTGATGGTATTTATCTGATAATACCAGAGGCACTTAATACAATACACTTTGGTGTCCCATGGCTTTTTTAAAAAAGCATTAGAGACACAAATCCCATGTGTGTTCATTTTTGTTTATTTGTTTGTTTTCTGTGATAACTACACAGAACCTTTTTCATGTAAAACAACTCTCTAGTAACTACTCTGCTAGTAAGTTTTACAATTCACAAAATTTGAAGTAGAAAGACAGAAACAGAATTTTCCTGTAAAAAAAATCCTCTAATATTTTTTTTTCTTCAAATTTTGCAGTGTATTAGATGTGTTAAATAAAATATTATCTAACATACAACCTATCATGAAAAGTAGCTTATTTTAAACACATGTCTGTTTTTTAGCAAAAATTTTTGATAAAATAATCAAGTAAATAAACTCATTTCTTTTTCAAATTTGTTCACAAATTGTAGTTATTGTACGTTTAAAAAGAAAAGAATATATGTGTGTATATATATATATTTTCTTTTTCAAATTTGTTCACAAATTGTAGTTATTGTACGTTTAAAAAGAAAAGAATATATGTGTGTATATATATATATTATTTATTTTTTTTTTTTTTTTTTAAATAGAAGTTACATTTAATTTATTTTTTATGTGAAATATTTTTCTTTAATCTACAGAAAATATATACCAATATTTGTTCATAACTATAGCCCCTTTAGCCTTTCAGCTTAATTTAGACTAAATGTGCCACATTGTCACTTATTCTAGCATTTTTATTTTAGTTTATTTTCGTTTGAGTTTTATGAATCACTCAAATCAGGCTTTTCAACTTTATATGAGTTTAGCAACACTTTATTTCACCTTTTTATTTATTTTTTTATTTAAAGGAAGCTTTCAGTGAACAGTTCCAGTGAACAGAGAACCATTTTCTAAGTGTGAAGAACATTTGAATAATATCAAGAACCTTTTTACACTATAAAGGACCTTTTGTGCAATAGAAAGGTTCCATGGATGTTAGAGGTTCTCCGTGGAACCATAAATGCCAATATCTTTATTTTTAAGAGTGTATTCATGTGTTTGAGTTTTTCATTCAAAAAGACCATCAATATGTAAGTCCTTGGTTTTTGATGATGATTGCTATGTGTTTTCATAGCAACAGGCAACCATCAGACAGCTGCAACACAGTATTTTTTGGCACTTCCCTCTTCAAGGAACTGACGGTGCTTGTTTGTTTATATACCGACCTTCACTCAGACAGACAGACTGCCAGCTCTGATATTCAATACTCACACAGCATGTTGACACACTCCTGCTTCTGGTATTGGTGGAGAGGTGTGTTCACGCAATGAATGCTTATACAACATGACACCTTACAGAAGAAAGCAGGCACTTCATTTGAACTTCATTGCTCAGTTCTGGGAAACTCAACAGGGGTTTCGTGAACTGGGACAAGAGTATCACCTGAAAAGAATGAGTGGGAGGAGGTTATGCTGTCATATGAGCGGGCATGCACATGTGTTATGTAATGTTTGCATGACATTTATATAGATTGCGTTCTCCTCTTATAGGGGTAGATGTTGGGAAGTTGGAAGGTTTTACAGTACAAACCCATGCCAACTAATTGTTTTCAGGTTTTTAAGAGCTAATCACTTGTTTTATTCCACATAATTGGTCATATTTCTCTATATTACTTTAATAAAACCAGAAAAAAAACATATGTATATGTAATTGTACACAGATTTAACACAACTTTGTAAGCTTTTAACACAAATTAGTCAGTCTTAGCCATTAAACCTTGTTGTACGTTATTGTAAGAAGTGAAGAAAATTTATTGAAGAAAAGTTCAAACTTTTTGAAATCCTGTTAAATCTTCTAGCATATATATATTTAGATTGTGTGTGTGTGTGTGTGTGTGTGTGTGCGCGCGTGCTGTCAAAACCACTCAAATGGTCATATTTTTATTTTACTACTACTAATAATAATAAATAGATTAAATAGATTTGATTTTATTCAGATTATTTGACTATAAGGTAACACCTAAACAGTATAACTTTGTCAGTTGTTAATATATTTCTGGTTATGTATAACTGCACATATTTCCATAGACTGGGCGTTGCATTTCTTCACAGTTTGGTGTCATCTTTGGTGGTCAAGTAGAGGTCAAAGTTTGTTTAAATGCATGCCTCATACCAGTGAGGATTCCAGACAATGTGATGTGCGACAGCCTCTACATTCTACATACACCTTATGAAATGATAGATTTAGGAAATGCTGGAGCGTTATGAGATGATGGAAATACAAACAACAGTGATTTGCTTCACGAGCAAGTATAACACAAACAGACAGAAGGAAAACGACCACTTAACCACTTAAAGTAATGCATTTAAATACTTTTATTAGGCTACGCGACTTTTTTTTTTAGAAAATGAATCACTTCAACTGTAAACCTGTCCGGGGACATTTTTGTGGCACACCACTAAACTACTTTAAATCACACCATCTCTCACATTGAGCAACAGTGCCGATGAACAACGCTATTTGTGTTCACAGATCACATAATCATACTTTACCTGAGGTAGAATTTCATTTGGAAGAACTGCTGACAGATTAAACTGTCCTCGACTGAAACTCGTCTGACTCTCGTATTACAGGTGGCTAAAAGGTTCCTTTGCCAAGAACCCCGCCACAAAACCCCACGCTTTGTAATCTCTTTTTCGGTTTTTGCAGTGTTCGAGCTAGAGACTAAATTAATCTTATGACAATGACCACAAAACTTTAAGAAGGCACATCTAATTATTCAAGCAAACCTGGTAAGTGTGTCTTCTGGCGTAACACAACCTACAGTTTAGTCTGCCTTTGCCAAATACTTACATAACCAATTTATCAGATAACTGCCGCCCAATATTATTAACCTACTTTATGAAAGAATGATAACTCGTTTGTTACGGGATACTGTACAAACTGGTGTTATATAACCTGCTTTCAAAGTGTATTTGTAATCTAAATAAAAAGGAAACTTGGTCGAACGCCACTGAAATGTTTATGTGGCACGACTCCAATAAAAACATGCCAAGGCATTGCTGCGGTCGGATAAGGAATTAAAACGACTCAGAAATGGTTCTGCGATAATTTAGGGAGATTATAGTCTTAAATCAATGCATTATGATCAAAAGTGACAAGACGGTGCAACTCTTGAACAGTCATTATAGCTGCCAGAGAGACTGCCATCAAAACGAGAATCATATTTCTCACAAAAGTTATAAATAAAAGTTTTAATGACTGGTGGCACTGAAGTCAAGTGGGTAATATTTAACAAGCGCAGATAAACACCAGGAAAATGAAAAAATAAATAAAAATACCATGACAGCTCCATCCTACTTTACTTAAAAATGTTAAGGTATTTTTTTAAATCTCAGCCTATTGCACTCAAATAACTAGTTAATTACATTTAGGAAATGCTGGAGCGTTATGAGATGATGGAAATACAAACAACAGTGATTTGCTTCACGAGCAAGTATAACACAAACAGACAGAAGGAAAACGACCACTTAACCACTTAAAGTAATGCATTTAAATACTTTTATTAGGCTACGCGACTTTTTTTTTTAGAAAATGAATCACTTCAACTGTAAACCTGTCCGGGGACATTTTTGTGGCACACCACTAAACTACTTTAAATCACACCATCTCTCACATTGAGCAACAGTGCCGATGAACAACGCTATTTGTGTTCACAGATCACATAATCATACTTTACCTGAGGTAGAATTTCATTTGGAAGAACTGCTGACAGATTAAACTGTCCTCGACTGAAACTCGTCTGACTCTCGTATTACAGGTGGCTAAAAGGTTCCTTTGCCAAGAACCCCGCCACAAAACCCCACGCTTTGTAATCTCTTTTTCGGTTTTTGCAGTGTTCGAGCTAGAGACTAAATTAATCTTATGACAATGACCACAAAACTTTAAGAAGGCACATCTAATTATTCAAGCAAACCTGGTAAGTGTGTCTTCTGGCGTAACACAACCTACAGTTTAGTCTGCCTTTGCCAAATACTTACATAACCAATTTATCAGATAACTGCCGCCCAATATTATTAACCTACTTTATGAAAGAATGATAACTCGTTTGTTACGGGATACTGTACAAACTGGTGTTATATAACCTGCTTTCAAAGTGTATTTGTAATCTAAATAAAAAGGAAACTTGGTCGAACGCCACTGAAATGTTTATGTGGCACGACTCCAATAAAAACATGCCAAGGCATTGCTGCGGTCGGATAAGGGATTAAAACGACTCAGAAATGGTTCTGCGATAATTTAGGGAGATTATAGTCTTAAATCAATGCATTATGATCAAAAGTGACAAGACGGTGCAGCTCTTGAACAGTCATTATAGCTGCCAGAGAGACTGCCATCAAAACGAGAATCATATTTCTCACAAAAGTTATAAATAAAAGTTTTAATGACTGGTGGCACTGAAGTCAAGTGGGTAATATTTAACAAGCGCAGATAAACACCAGGAAAATGAAAAAATAAATAAAAATACCATGACAGCTCCATCCTACTTTACTTAAAAATGTTAAGGTATTTTTTTAAATCTCAGTCTATTGCACTCAAATAACTAGTTAATTATATTTAAAATTAAAGACAACGCAAAATGTTACAGATAAAAAAGCTTTATTGACACAAGTTTTGTGATCAAAAGAACAAAAGATGTGGATGCAAAGCTTAACTAAAAATAATTTAAATTTGCTTCCCACTCTCCCCTTTCATATGGGATAATATATTCTCTGTGGGAAAACATTTACAGGCAAATGCAATATATGACAAAAATTGCATTAAAAAAAAATGACCTTATTAAAGTATACAGCAAACATGTGAAGCAAGACCAAATCTTGCATTTCATTTGCGAGCAGTCTGAATAAATAGTGCACAAGAGAGGAAAAGCAACCAAAAGGGATACGATAACGTCATTCATGACGACCCTCACTTTCCCTGAGGACCTACATCCGAGTCCCACCCTGTTTAAACCAGAATCTTTGTCTGTTTATTTTAGAATGGGTTAAAGCTGCTGTAACAATTCCTAGCTTTCATTCCTATTAGTCTGAACTCGGCCATCAGCCTTTTCTCTCATATATTGTGTTCTTCTACAAAAAGTACAGTAAAATTATTTCTATTTAAAAAAAAAAAAATCAGATAGTAAAATTTGGGAAGCTACATTTTAGGATCTGCCATGTTCATTTTTGGACATTCATGTTTGTTTGGTTTATTTTTCCTGGAGACATAATTATCCTTTTTCACTAAATGCGAAGCACAAGAGGATCACGTCAGGTTTAAATCCATTCCTTTCATTTAGCTTTCAAAATAACTAACTCTGACGGTTTTCCACCCTGACCTCTTTGTATAATTTGCAATTATACATATAGATGACACAAAAGAGAAAAGGAATATGACTATTTACAGAACACTGATCTCTCTTCTGCGTCACTATAAATCTTTATGAAATATACAGATTTTCAGTGTTCATGAGCAGCCTCAGTTGGCCTGGGCAATGCGGGAGTCTGAGCCGATGAAGTTGAGCATCGTCTGGACCAACTCTGGCAGATCATAGTCGTGCTTCCAGCCCCAGTCATTGCGTGCGTTGCTGTCATCAAAGTTCATGGGCCAACTGTCAGCTATACGGATAGGAAAAAAACAAACGTTTTTGTACGATTTGCACCATTGATTTGTACCAAAATGTTTGAGGAAAGAGCAGATGTTTTGGATCATACCTATAGCCTGTCGTACAGAGTCAATCTCATATGTGACCTGAAGATCAGGCAGCTGTTTTTGGACCTCGTTTGCAAGTTCCTCTGGAGTGAAGCTCATGGCATTGATGTTGTAGGTGCGCATACTGAGCGATTCCGCCGGTGCCTCCATCACCTCCAGGGTGGCCCGCAAACAGTCATCAATGTACATCATGGGCAGCCTTGTGTCTGGTTTTAAGTTGCACTCAAAATTGCTGGTCTTGACGGCGTCGTGGAAAATCTGCACGGCGTAGTCTGGAAAAGCCAATAGAGACAGACTTTTAGGACTCATTGCTGTTCTTTTGGTCTGCAGTCTCCTCTACCACATGCAACAGTATGACAGTAACAGCTGTCGAAGTACTTTTCAGGTTTTTACATGTGACTTCTGGCAGCTGGAGGTGTGGTTCATATGGCTGGTCGGCATTGGTGCAGGCTATCGGTTTATCTAAAAACACTCAAAGCGAACAACACCCCTTTCTGAGCAAGTGCCAGTTGCATAACTTCACTTACGTACGTGAGCAAGGTCATGTGCCAAAAAAAACACAGATGGAGCAGAGTGCACCGTACCTGTCGTGCCACCGCCCGGCTGTGAGTCTGCAGAGATGATGCCAGGGTACCGCAGACAGCGGAAGTCAAGGCCATATCGGTGATGGTAGTACTGCAGAAGAGGATCATGGGTAAAGATTAATATACCATACGGCACAGAAAATGGGTGAAAATATGGGTGACTGGCGTCTTACCTCCCCCATAAGCTCTGCATGGACTTTAGAGACGCCATATATAGTGCGTGGTCTCTGCACACAAAGGTCAGGAGTGGGATTTCGAGGTGAAGTTGGTCCGAAGGCACCAATTGTACTGGGCACAAAGAGCCGAAGCCCGTGTTCTGCTGCAATGTCTAGGATGTTGTGTAGTCCTACAGAAAAAAAATTGATCTAGAATGAATTTATATTTAGTGCCGTATCAGAATCAAAAGCTAATGTTATTAAAGGCTATTTTATGGAAAGATCTAGACAAATAAATGTTTTACAACATTACAGTAAACACTATATACAATTTTCTATTTGATAGAAATACTATACATTTTTTTCTGGTAAAACACCCATGTAATTTATTTGAAAAAAAAAAAACAACAACAAGCACAGAGGCAGATTATTATAAGTATAAAAATGTTGCATTTAATGTACTGTCTAAATGCAATACTTTACATTAGTTTTCTAAAGTCATACCTGTGATGTTGACTGCTCGTGCCAGTGGCACATTAGCCTCCCCAACAGCACTTAGAAGAGCACTGTAATGCACTAACCAGGTGATCCTGTTATTTACTACAATCTCTCGCAAGTTCTTGTAGTCCAGAATGTCAGAGTAGATAAAGGGGCCTGTGTAAAAAAAAATAAAAAATGTAATCAACATGTCAGAACTTGTATGATCAGTCTAGCTCTGAACATATTTCTCAATATTAACAATATTGAAATGAAGATAAAAATCCTTTATCTTTTAAAATTAAGCCATTTAAATAAATGCTACGATTGTGCATGTTCACCTGTTTTAGACATGCAAAGAAATGTTAAATTAATTATCCAAGCTAATTAAAAGAAATTTGACAAAACAGTTAATTACCCACTATAATAAACATAATTAGCACTTCTTTACTCGTATAAATTACCTTAACATTCGATCAACATTAACAAATTACCTCTAACAAATGACTCTCCAAACTACATCTGGCAAACATCTGGTTTAAATGGATATACAATTATAACATAACAGACCCATTAACAGAGTGCTACCCCAATTATTTCTCTCATGAAATGATAGTAAGAATTCGTTTGAGATTAACAGAAGACATACCACTGTGAAAGACATTGCTTGGTGGTTTCCTGATATCTGAGAGGATCACATTGTTTTTTCCAAATCGCTTCCTATGAGACAGGAGGTAGAACTTTATTATGTAATATACGTTTTTATATAAAACATCACATTTGTAAATGCATCTACAATGCAAAAGATTAATGCTTTTATATATGTACTATAATGTGCATACCTTAATAGTTTAGCAAGCCCAACCCCTAGTTGCCCGAGGCCACCTGACAGAGAGAGAAAAAGATGATCAAATATCATGCAAAAACACAGTAGGGGAGTCAGGATCCACCCATCTTAAAAACGTGCTAAGACCAGTGTGATCAACGTGACAAAATACAAAAGTCCCAACTCTTAAATAAAAAATGCCAATGTACCAAGTACCCGTTTTTCATACCCGTGATGAGAACTTTGGGGTGGTCGGTTTCAGAGAAGGACACAGAATGAAAGCTGGCATCAGATCCAGAGGTGACCTGGCGCGGGGAGAAGCTGATGTAGCGTATCGCCACCGTCAGAGGCTGACATCCACACGCAGGGGCCAGCAGGGCCTGCTTTGCCACCTTACTAAGGGCTCTGACGACTGGCATGCTCAGTTACCTGCAAAAACAAGAGGCGTTGAGGTATCACACATGATCAGAACCTACCATTAAAAGTATAGTTCACCCATCATATACTCACCGTCATGTCCTTCCAAACCTGTATGACTTTCTTTCTTCAGTGGAACAAAAGAAATGTCAGGCATATTGACAGCCTCGGTCACAATTCGCTTCCACTGCATAGATCATTTTCTATACAGTGAAAGTGAAAGGTAACGTTAACTAGCATTCTGCCTAACATTTATTTTTTTGTTCCTCAGATGCAAGCCATACAGGTTGGAAGATGCTGGACATCTAAATATAAAAGCTTGTGCTGTTTTCGGATTAACATTTCGAGTCAAACATCGAACATATGCTTCTTACATCAGAGCTATTTCAAACGTAGTCACATGAAGCTCAGTGCAGTGACGCTCGTAAATTACACTGGCAGCTAAACAAACTTTAATGAACTAAACCTGATGTAAGGCGCCTCAAAGTTCATCCTTCTGTTAAATTCGTACAGTAAACCGGAAAAAACATTGTTAATTCCCAGGCTGCCATCGCCGAACTTTCTTACCTTGCAAATGTAAAGGCACGAAAGGAACGAAGAATGTAATATGAGCGCATTTATACTGCCCTGCCTTCGTCGGCAGCCAATCAGCACGCGAGCACCGTGGCAAGATGCCGAACACATCCTTCAATCCGACTTCCAAAGGCTTCATTGTGCCAAGTCTGTGCGGACTGTTCTGTTCGTGTCCCGTTTTTTTGCTTCACAATACCCTAACGCACAATCCAAGCCGGTTTGATCTTGAACTTTAAGGTCAGTCAGACTTTAAAACTAGTTTCCAAAGGCTTTTTTCAGATTGCAAAGCCTGGGACGACTTGTTCCACCTTCACAGTTCATACGCTATGCCGGGTTAGTAATTCATTTTTGGTAGACGTGTTTCGAAATTTCACACTGCATATTTGTAAGCCCCGTATTAACCTTCTAACTTAGGGTAATACGGTACACGGCCCGTTTTAATACATGCTTGTCCATCTGTGGCCACGTAGACCCGCTCTGGTCACTTGAAATATGAGCATAACTTAAAGCAAATACAATATGGACTCTTTATAACCCAGCTAACCTTTGTGCTGCCTCTCGTCTACATTTGTATCCGTTTTCTACATACTTGTAGACGTCTTCGCGTCAAAGCTCATGAATATTTAATGACATAAGCACAGAGGGAGCTCATGATTGGTTGTCTGTTGCTAAACAACTCGCTGTAATCTTGCACCTTTAGCGCTGCAATTCGGCCAACTAAGTAGTTTTACAAGCTATTCAGAAGAAGTGACAACCGCGTTTTAAAATGACACGTTTAACCCAGGGTTAAAACTATCGGTACGACTGAAGCGGTGTGCCAGACTTCTGCTGGCAGACTAACATTAGCGGCTCTAGAAGAGCGCGAGTAAACGTGCTCACGACGACTAACTTAACTACACCCTATGAACGAACACCTTAAAATAACGGTCACCTTATCAGGATTTCGACACTTAGTTTCACACGAACTACCGTATTTTATGAAACACTAAAGGGAAGTCTTGTATTTTCGGGAAAGTGACAAAATGAGGAAGAGTAACGTTATACAAGATAACCACGTCTTGAGCTTCATTATAGGCCTAAAATCACAGATATTTAACGGAATGCTTTAGGACAAAGTTAATTGGATTGAGAAGTAAAAAGCGATAAGGTTGTGAAAGTGAAAAATAAACTATCATGCATTTTTATCTTTCCAGTCAAGGCCATGGGAAGCCAGCGTTCAGATAAGGTTCTAGTTGTAATCAATTTTAAGCAGAATGCAATCGATTTCAGTAAATGAATTCACTCACCTATTGACTAGAATACGATTCAGAGATTAGGCAGAAAACGTGTTTTTCTGGGCGACGTGAGCAGCTTTCTTGATCTGGTTTTCCGTCACTGATGCTTCATTCAGAATCTTCCAGTATTGCATCAGCCCGCCGCGGAGGTTTTATATCCGCAGCCCAAGAGGCTTTCAAGAGAAGCCGGCTGCGCTCTGATTGGCCAGCGCTGGAGGAGAGGCCCTGGCCACGCCTTCCTGACGTCTGTAGAACTGAAACATGACGACTTGAGGGGTCTTTTCAGGGTTGCACGTTCAACCCCCCTCTCACAACGAATGCAGTCAACGGGACGTTTTGCGTTGAAAGTGAGAGACAGAAAGCTCATAGTAAAGGGTTTGAGAGAATATTTACTGTTTCTAGAAAATACCAAACCTACAAAAGAAAAAAAAGATAAATTACCTAATGAGGAAAATGTGCGTTTTGTCCCGCTAAATTTAGAACCAAATTTTAAACATATAAATCCTATTTAAAATATTTTAAGCAGCACTGAATTACTTGTAGAATTATAATTATCATTAAGAATACTACTTAGTAGTAGTAGCAGCTCTGGTTTTGAGATTTTTTTTCATTCATGTAGCTATATTAATTGAGGGGGAAAAAAACGAATTTTTTAAAAATTAGCTAGTGAAGGCAAAAATGTGATTAAAATGTTAAAATGGTGAAACCCTAGGAAATTGAGACCAGTTACATGAAGGCGTATAGTTTCCCTTATATTATTTACAATTTAAGCTAAAATCTTTATTTTGATGGGGGGAAATGTTCACGGACACATCATGCATTGACTACTTATTTCTATAACAATGTATTGCAATTATTTTTTTCTTACATTTATTTTTGTGTGTGTATATATTATTTTAATGTATTTATTTCCATTTATTTTTTTATTTCTTGGTAATGTTACAAATATTTTTCATATTTTATATTGGTTCAAAAGCACATATACATCTTTAAGAAACAGCTAAAAACTAAATCTCTTCCATCTTCATTTGACCCTCTAATTCTAATTCTATTTTATCTCTTTGTTGACTTGACCCTCTCTAACACTTGCACTCTGAAAGTGATTGTGACATGTGGCCAAGTATGGTAGCCCATACTCGGAATTAGTGCACTGCATTTATCCCATCCTAAGTGCACACACACCGTGAACACACACACACACACAATATAAATCTTTGCTATCACTTCTTAACAATTTAACACATCCTTGCTGAATAAAAGTTTTAATTTCTTTAAAAAAAAAAGAAAGAGTAAAAATGTACTGACCCCAAACTTTTGAACTGTAGTGTATATTGTTAGAAAATATTAATATTTTAAATAAATGCTCTTCTTTTTAACTTTTTATTCATCAGAGAATCCTGAAAAAAGTATCACAGGTTCCAAAAAAATATTAAGCAGCACAACAGTTTCAAGCACTGATAATAAATCAGCATATTAGAATGATTTCTGAAGGATCATGTGACACTGACTGGAGTAATGATGCTGAAAATTCAGCTTTGCATCACAGGAATAAATTAGATTTTCATGTATATTAAAATAGAAAAACGTTATTTTACATCATAATAATATTTCACAATATCATTTTTTCCCCTGTATTTTTTATCAAATAAATGCAACCTTGATGAGCATAAGAAACTCCTGTAAAATCATTCTGATCCCAAACCATATATATATATATATATATATATATATATATATATATAAATCTGGCTACGTGTACTGCGTTAGGCTAAACCGGGACTTGTCATAGCACTTGCATATTATTGATCTTTTGTTGATTTTGATCCTATTGTCATCATTTGTAAGTCGCTTTGGATAAAAGCATCTGCTAAATGACTAAATGTAATACATGATCATACATGAGAAGCTGTAGTGACAAAAAAAACGTGCTTGAATATTTCTCAAAATTGTTGTGCCCTGATTTAGAAGCATTTCAGCAAATAAAAAAATATTGAGAATACAAATGAAATACAAAACATTATTAAACATTGTTAATTATTTAAATCTGAGAACACCCTAAAAAGCATGTTTTGCATCTTAAAAAACCAAGTCTGATTGATAGCTTGAAACAAAAACAACAGAGGAACATTACCTTTCCAGCAGCCTTTTTTATTGCTTCTGCTATTTTCTGCCAATTCATGGATGGCAAGTCAGAGCTATTACAGGTTCTGGTCTGCCAGCCACACACCATCAATATAATTAAGCCTTCCTGTGATGCTTCAAGGCCATATCCTCTCAACTCAATTTATCTTTACCCTGAAAATCTCTTAAAACCTCAGTCCCATCACTCCAGGTGCACATTTATGAAGCTTTTCAATATAATAGATCAACAGAACGGATACCTGATGTGTGCAAGTCACAGAGGAAGGACAAATCTCCAACAAAACAAAATAGTGAATGAATAATTCAAAGTGACACACTTTTAAGGGCTTGTGTGAAGTGTTTGCCCAGAGGTTACTTCAGGTCTGCTACCATCTCTGTGAGCCTAACAAGTGTTGTCTTTGTGTCTATTAGACATTGTCCATGATTAAAAGCAGAATACAGAGTGTATCAGCACACACATATACGTGTGGCTGTATCAGGCCCATCCCCCAGGAAACACTGCATGTTGATAATGAGCGGGGAAAGCAACCATATGTTTATGTGACGAGAGATATGGTGCTTTACACAGCCAGTGGTTGTATCTGCAGCATAAGCTTGTACAATATGAAACAGTGTTGCTGTTAACTAATTATTTGACAGTTCAGCAATAGGTTTTAAAAAAAAAAATCAATTATTCTGACAATCCTTAATATATATATAAAATGAAAAATGACATTCTATATTTTACATGAGCTATACTGTATATTCAGTTTGAAGTTTACATACCATTGTTTCCTGTTTCTCAATGGTAATATCGGTCATTATTGTGATGCACTGATAAGATAAGTCAAATTGACTACCGGTAATTTATATTTTATTACTACTTATTGTATTGGAACTGAGATACTTACAGGTGGTCAATTTAAATATGAAAGAGAAAAAAAAATACACACATCTGTACATTAAACAAATTTAATGCCCACAGAACATAACATACTTCAGTTATACATTTGATCAATATTTTGTAAAGCAAGGCATGACACTGTACAGACAATTTTACAGTGAATCTTAATAATGCTTGTCAGTTGATGCTACTGAAGTGCCAGAATGAAATAAAAATATTGTGCATTAAAAAAACTAATCAAAAACAACAACAACTGACTGTCTATCCCCAGCATCAAAACCTACCTTAAACTAAAACACATTCATAAAAGCAGCAGAGTCTATTTTGATGGCAAGAACCCAGTGGAATATTAAAATGGCCTATATAGGCTACAGGAGTCACTACACGATAGATTTAAATATTCAGATATTTATGAAACAAATGGACCCAAAAACCTTTAATGGCACATTAAGCATATATATATCTTGATTTATTTGCATAAATGATATGTGAAATGACTTGCATGAGATTTTGCAGCAAACACCTTCTGTCTACAGACCATGCTCATGTCACTCGTGGAGAACTGGAGGAAATGACATGCTTTTGTGCAGAACGGAAACTGTAATAATCCCAGTGGGGTTTATTTTTAGATGTTTCTAAACAACTGCTGTGTGTCCTAATAAAGATATTCATATTAAGAAAAAAAAAAAAAACATTTTGTAACAAAGATTTTTAAGGGTTGTGGGTGGACATTTATGACGACATTATTTTGACATTCATAATATCGCTAACAGAAATCTGGATTTTTAAACTATATACTAAATATGAATAATCTTTATACAAATATGAATATTACCTGTGCACAAACAATCTTACATTTGTAAAGCAAAAAGTGCCATTTTTGGCAATTTCTTAAAGGAACAGTTCACCCAAAAATGCAAATCTGCTGAAAATGTACTCACTCTCAGACCATCCAAAATGTAGAGGAGTTTGTTCCTTCACACTTGCAAAACTTTTTCACCAATACATCCTCTGTAGTGAATGGGTGCCGTGAGAATGAGAGTTCAAAAGGCTGATACCACAAGCATTATTATGGATTATGGACTGGTATTTTGGGTAGAAGTTATGGTGTAATAAAAAAAAACAGCTTTTCTTTTCATAAGATATTAATTGATGAACTGGAGTCATATGTATTGCTTGTGTTTCATTGAGATGTTTTTAATCGGCTGTTTGGACTCTCATTCTGACGGCACCCATTCACTGCAGAGGACCCACTGGTGCACAAGTGCTGTAATGTTACATTTTTCCAAATCTGTTCTGATGAAGCAACAAATTAATCTACATCTTGGACCACATTTTTGGGTGAACTCTCTCTTTAATCATGTGGCCAGTGTCTCTTTGGAAGGAGTTAGGGATCATGTAAGACTATGTAAACCACCTGTGTTAGATTCAAATGATATTTCCAGCATCTAATAGTCAGTCCAATACTTTCCCTTTTGTTTTATTTTATAATTGTGTTTTCTATTGCACTTCATGGCACACGACTTAAAATGAAAAAAAGGCACATCAGCAGTCCCTTTTCTTTGAGAACATGTAAACCAAAGCACCAATGTACAATCTCTAATGACATGACATCCATATCATAACCTGCTAATCAGTTTAAAGTGTTTTACATGAAACACATCATAATAATGACAAGTGATGCATAGTGTTTAAGGAAGAAAACTACAATGATATATTAATAGAGCAGCAGATCTAGTGGCCAGAGAGTAGAACACATTGGAGACCAATGGAGACAGAAAGAAAGAGTACGATCAGAGGAGTGTAGATACAAGAGTGTGAGGCTTATTTCAGTAAGACAGAGATGGCAAATCAGAAGGATACCATTCTGTTGATGTCCTATGGTGTCTGCAGTGGGCTGTCCTCTGTCTCGAGCTGGGCCAGCTGCCTGCGCAGGCTGTTCACTTTGTTCTGCAGCTCCTTGTTGTACTCTATAATATGGACCATCTCCTGATAGGCCTCGTCCAAACACTTTGTAGAGCGATTCCAGCGAAGGAATACCCCTATAGAGAAAAGAACAAGGTGCTAGATATGTGATATGTGATGATATCATTCTGTGTTGCTGATAAATGATCTTTTCTGGGACACACAAAAAGAAAAAGATGTGAGATGGCCACATTGATCACCCTGCGGTACCTTAAGGTTATACATAAGGAAAGCTTAAATATCCCCACACAATCACCAATCCCATGTTTCTAAACACACATAATGCTGACATTTTGTGATGGTGTTAGGACCAGCTGTACGTAAGTTACAACTTAGCCTCGTTTTGACATAAATGGGCACTAAGTTACAACTTACGCACTACTAAATATTTTTCCGTTGCACCATTACATGTAGTTGAAGTGTAACTCTACGTATAAACTAAATATTTACGGAAGCGTCTGGTCAGGAGTAACGGTTGGAATAAAATAGCAGATGGAGTGAACTGCATCAATATGCTCTTCTTTTACCTGACAACCTTCAATCCTTTAGGCATATATGATGCTGCTGACATTTACACTCATGTACATATTAAGAGAGAGAACAATATGTGAATAAACCTACTTTCTTTTTTAGCGCATCTTCAACACCCCATCTACAGTGCGCCCCTGTGCGCTTCGGTCCGTGTTGCGCATGTCAGATTAAATAATAAATAGATGCCATTTCTTATGTTTTCTTTCTTTCAGTATTTAGTGATCCTTATTTATTTCGGACTAGAGAGTCAGAGTTTTAACCCGAAGGTCGCAGGTTCGAGTCTCAGGTCCGGCAGAAATTGTAGGTGGGGGGAGTGAATAACCAGCGCTCTCTCCACCTTCAATACCACGACTGAGGTGAGACCCTTGGCCTTGAGCAAGGCACCGAACCCCCAACTGCTCCCCGGGCTCCGCAGCATTGGCTGCCCACTGCTCCGGGTGTGTGTTCACGGTGTGTGTGTGTGTTTGTTCGCTACTCACTGCTCTGTGTGTGCACTTGGATGAGTTAAATGCAGAGCACAAATTCCAAGTATGGGACACCATACTTGGCCACACGTCACGTCCTTTCCCCTTCCTTTTCCTGCCTTTCCTTAGTGGAAACTTGTTTATATTTTTACCGTTAGTATACGTCAGGCAAAAGAAGTTCGAATGAAGGATAAATGTAATTCATTGCATTTAAACAATTTCTGCTCGCGTATTTGAAGGTTTTTTATTGGATGATTTAGTGTAAACGTCATATTATAAGACTACGCATTACTTACTTGCTACGTCCTGCCTAATGAACAACTGGTGCAACCAAATAATGTATAGATTTAGTTACAAACTAGCTAGTAGTTACTAAGCTTCTAGTGTGGACTTAACGTTCAAATTTAAGTAAGAACTTACGAATGGCTGGTGCAACCCTACCCTGGTCAATACTCATTCAACTGTGAAATTAACATTTGATTAGCTATTCCTCAAAAGACCTTGACACTTAAAGGAATAGTTTTACTCACCATCAGGCCATATAATATGTAGATGTGTTTGTTTCTTCATCAGAACAGATTTGGAGAAATGTATTGCATTGCATCACTGCATTACATTGAAATTTATTTATTGCATTGCATCACTTTCTCACCAATGGATCCTCTGCAGTGAATGGGTGCCGGTAGAATGAGAGTTAAAAAAACATCACAGTAATCCATAAGTAATACACATGACTCCAGTCCATTAGTTAATATCTTGTGAAGTGAAAAGCTGCATGTTTGTAAGAAACAAATCTTATTTTATATCTATAATATTGGTGTTTCTTGTGAAAGGTTTGTCTCATCTGAATCAGGAGAGAAATATGCACATGCACATGATCATTTACAAGTGAAAAAAAGTCCAAAACGGTTCTATACAAATATGTTGGTGGAATTTAATGTGAGAGGACATTTTTCACTGGAGGAAGCACTATTAGGAATTACAGACTCATATTTTAGCCATAAGTGACGGTTTAAAGTTTAAATGCCTTTCACAAATACACAGCTTTTCATGTCATAAATCGTTAATTGATGGACTCGAGTTGTGAGGATTACTTGTGTATTATTGTGATGTTTCTATCAGCTGTTTGGACTCTTATTCTGACAGCACCCATTCACTGCAGAGCAAGTAATGTAATGCTAAATTTATCCAAATCTATTCGGATAAAGAAAAAAACTCCTACATCTTGGACGGCCTGAGATACCATGTTAATATAGCCAACCAGTACTGTATAAGCAATAAATCTGCTTGCCAAAAATAAACTGGACACAGTTCTTTCACATATGGTTCTGTACTAAAGTGACTTGGACGAAAGTGCAAATTGAAGAAAGGATGCATTCATATATAACCCACAAATTGAAAACTCAAATAGTTTTATTCAAACCACCTGGTTACTTTCATTCATCACACAAACATACTAGCAGCATGTGTTACTTCCATTCATTTTTTAAAATATAGGTTAATGAACTGTAATCTAGTCAAAAGCTTATATCTATTGTATAAGACTGTTCAGTGTAGCTCTTTTGGTGAGTACACTAATATTCACACGTTTGACTGGTAGTGTATATGAAAGGTCTAAACATATCTGTGAGTTGTTTGAGAACTGCTCATGTGACTGAAAGTGAACCCCCATGGCATTAAACTCCATGTCTGCTTGGCTGCTTTTCCTGAAAGAGTCTCTTTCACTGCACCTCTAAAATAGAGGCATGACAGATGAGGACTAAAAAAAAATGAATGGCACAGAGGTCATCGGGGTTAAATCATTGTCACACTTGTGAATTCCATGTGACGTTAATCTGTATCTGGTGAAAAGTTTAAAACAAACGGATGTTGAAGTCTCAGAGTTGCTTCTTTAATGCTAAATAATATCTTAAACCTGACAAGGAAGATTAATTTTCTTGATTAAAAATAAATGGATTACTATATTTAGAGTAATATTAACTTTATTTTTTACATTTCATCTTTGTCTAATCGGTGTCCCAAAAACCACAATCTCTGTCACATATACAAACTACAATAACTTTGCAGCAGACTATAGGCGAGTTCTTTAAAAATGTAAATAATTAATTTAAATGATATTGTATTCTAAAATTAATGTAATTAATAATAATTATCATTTTAGATTTTAATATAAACTCAATTATTTAAAAAAAAAATGTAAAGAATATACGGTCCAGAAGGCTTTCATTTTCATTACACCAGAAGAATTATAATTATTCAGATGGAAACCTGTCTCAAGAGTTTGTTAAACATAATAGTGAAGTACGTGACTAATGCACAAGATACAGTATCTATAAGTGCATCTATTGTATGTCATGGAAGAATGTTGACATACTATTCATTTCAAAACACATACTGATCTTACAATCCACAAGTTCTTTAAGCATCTCACGCATCTCATGGTTCACTGCAAAAATATAGTTAAAGCACCAAACAACACATGACTGCCCCCTATAGTTTAACTGGGTAAACATGCTTTTCAATATCATTTTCATGATGATGTCACATTCACAGCAGGTGCTGGAAGAGATCAAAAAAATGAGAGGAATGTGGGAGATTTGATGGTGCTCACCCTCCCACAGAAGCAGGCTCTGAGGAGCCACAGACGGCCAGATGACCAGGTTATTGGGCTCATATAGTGGGTTGAGAAATCGCTCCAGCTCCTGAGGTCTGTTCACCCACGACCACAAAGAAACAGTTTTCTGAGACAGCTGCAGCTTCCCCCTGAAACATTACACAGAAAGTACAAAGTTTACATTTACACCTAAATTTTAGGTGTAAATGTACACGTTGCAGCCGTTGCCATCCATTATGTTACAATAAGCAACTATTCTACACTTCAAGCTGGACCCTAACATTCATAAATATTCTAATCTTGCAATTCTTCCGAGTACATTCTTTAAAATAAAGGTTCCAAAGTTGTTGTTTTTTTGCAGTGATGCCACAGAAGAACCATTTTATGTTCCCTAAAGACCCTTTCAGTGAACAGTTCTTAAAATAACCTTTTTTTCTTAATGAAGAACAATTTTAAGAATCTTTTTCCACTATAAACCACCTTTTATACAAGGGAAAGTTTCTATGGATGTTAAAGGTTCTTCATGGAAACATCGATGCCCATAAGGAACCTTCATTTTTTGAGTTAAAATGTTGAACCAGAATGAAACCTCTCCTCTTGTGTCTAAAGATCAGATTTATGACGTCACAAACTACACACCCTTCATCGTCGGTAAATGACTGTACCAAAACTGGGAATTTTGAATTGTGATACACATTTAAGCAACAAGCGGAAAATAATTTCACAACACATTTACCACAACATCCTGTTCAGAATATGAAACAAACACAAAAGGGTCACGGCCAACAACAAGTTGACCTTTACTGATGCTGGAGTGTTGACGGAAAGGGTTGTGACCTTCTGCTCCTGAATTACAACATGCCATGTGTTTATGTACAAGTGTAAACTATGGCCCAATCCCAAATTCCCTTGCGGTTTTCTTTCAAATCCACCTCTGGTGACGTAACTGTTACACAGACACACAAGTTACCTTCAGAGTGATAAAATAACTGTGGCGTTTGCGACAGGTCCTGTGTTGGCTACTTAGAGATTTATCTGATATGGTTAAAACAAGCTGTTTTTACAAGGTTGTATGTGATGTAATACAGGAAATGAGATGGCATGCGAGAATCTGTAAATGGACGTCATGACAGGAATGTGATGAAGGGGAACACTAACCTCTCGGCCACGCAGTTTCCAAGGAAAGTGCCAAACTGAGAGGCATAGGCATGCTCGAAGAGCATGATCAGCAAGTTCTCGTTGAACTGGAAGGAGCAAGGGAACTGCCGCAGGATCTGCCACACACAGTCCAGGAAGAGCAGAAACACAGGCGCTTCACTTCGGAGCTTCCCGTTTGAGTATGCAGACTGTGCACAGCGCTGCTGGAACGGGTGACCGGCCTGGAGGTAGAGGTTACAGGACCTTAGGTTATCCCAGACTTTACAGAGAAACTTCATTTTAAAACCAAGGCTGTGTCTCATTCCACTTCCTATTTCCTTATGTTGTTAATCAGTGTATTATCAAATTGGGACACTAGCAAGGGTCTGGATTCTCTACACATTACCTGTGACACATTTTATAGTCATTACGATTATTCAGAATTTATCAACAACATGGCTATATGTCATTATAAATGATGTTTCATATATTGACACTATGAAATATGCATTTCTCTTACATTTCATTAAGAAAAACATATTACGTGTATACATACTGTAACTGCATTCAGACATAAACCAAATATAAGACCATACAGCACCACTCAAAAGTTGTACGGTTTAAAAAGATTTTTAAATGTTTTTGAAAGAAGTCTCCTATGCGCATCAGAGCTACATTTATTTAATCGAAGATAGTCAAATCAGTAATATTGACAAACATTATTACAATTTAAAATAATTGTTTTCTATTTTAATATATTTTAAAATTTGATTTATTCCTGTGATTTTCTGCATTATTACTCCAGACTTCAGTGTCACAAGATCCTTCAGAAATCATACTAACATGCTGATTTGGTGCTCAAGAAACCTTATTTTTATCAATGTTGGAAACGTGTACTAAATGTTTGTGTAATATTTTTGTGGAAACTGTGATACAATTTTTTTTAGGATTCTTTGACAGTAGTGAATAGAAAGTTCAAAAGGACAGCATTTGTTCGAAACAGAAAACTTTTGTAAAATTATAAATGTCTTTACTGTAACTTTTGATCAATTGAATGTATCCTTGCTAAATGAACCCAAACTTTTGCACAGTAAAGTACATAAATAAATTAATAAAAATAAAACGCAAGCTGTTTTGAAACATCCAACAACTGCAGAATAAAGCCATATGACAAACCAGTCATAAGGGTCAATTTTTTTTTAAAATTGAGATTTATATATCATCTGAAAGCTGAATAAATAAGCATTCCATTGATGTATGGTTTGTTAGGATCAGACAATATTTGGCCGAGATACGACTATTTGAATATCTGGAATCTAAGGGTGCAAAAAAATCGCCTTTAAAGTTGTCCAAATGAAGTTCTTAGCAATGCATATTACTAATCAAAAATTACGTTTTGATATATTTACGGTAAGAAATTTACAATATATCTTCATGGAACATGATCTTTACTTAATATCCTAATGATTTTTGGCATAAAAGAAAAATTGTATAATTTTGACCCAAACAATGTTTTTTTGCTACAAAAATACCCCAGCGACTTAAGACTGCTTTTGTGGTCCAGGGTCACATATTTTGATGGGAAATACTTAAATACTTTGTCTTTATACAATTACACTTTTGCTCTTCTCATCATGCTCTTCATGCTAATATTTCCGGTATGCAAATAGAATGAGCAGCCAACTTCTTACAGTACATTCAGAGAATTTCTAGGGAAGGTAATAGAATGATTTTGACAGTGGAACAAGCAGCAGAAATCAGAGGTTTCTCACCTGTAACCACTCTCGCTCAATCAGCACCTCAAAGCCACGGATGGTTCTGCATGCCGGATCGAGGATGATCTGGGCGAGAGACGTGACCTGCAGTGTTGAATCAGTGCCCTCTGTGCCATGAACCAGCACTGACGCCCCTTCCCTAGAATACAACACAAATTAAAGTGGCCCCTCCAAGTTTGAAACTGCACTCAGATTGAAATTATTTAGCACACACATAATGCTACAAACCTGATAAAGAACTGCATGCCAAAAGCAGCAGAACCAGTGTGGTATGAACATAAAGATGATTATAGCATGACAACAGCACTAATTATCACCACAAGCTTTGTAACAAATGTGGCGAGAAACAGGGTGACAGCAGCTTTTGTAATTAACTTAGAATAGAGCTAAAACAGTAATTAACACAGCTGCACAATTTGGCCTGTACAGATCTGTCTGCAGTGTAAAGGCTCTGTGTGTATGAGACAGGAACAGATAGATGTATCAACAGATGTACCTGTCAATGCACTGTGCAGCCAGGCAGGCCGTTGTGAGGATTTCCTTAACATTACTCTGCCAGTTGGACGCTTCAAGTTTACTGAGCCAGCGGTCCATGCTGTGCGACTGATCGTTGCACGCCTCCACCAGCTTTATCAGACTGTCCTGCAGAACATTAGACCTGTGGGAGAACAGCTGTCAGATTATAGTCTCAGTTACAGGACTCATTTATGCAGCTGTGTTTGTTTGTTTGCATATGGTATTCTTCAGCTCCAAATGAGCATTTTAGCTGCACATGATATGTGTTTTCCAGGCTTGAACGAGTTTAAGCCCCCTAATAAAAGTGCAGTGGATACTAGTCTCAGTCTCAGATGGTACAAATTGCTCACAGTCCATTCACTGACCGCCTGATATATATTATATATGACATATATATTGATCACATATATCGAAAAAAAAAGTGATCTGTTTCACTGACTTAAGAAACTTTATCAGTTTGCCTGTAAACCAAGCTGAGCACTTAAGAAATAGTCACTGGATTTGCCAAACATTTGTCAAAATCACGATGAAACCAGAGAGAAGTTATAGTTTTGATTAAACAATAACAAGGTCTAAATAAATAAATATTTTAATTAAACACATACATGTATGAATCATTCACAATAAGATCTATAACATGCATTAAAAAATATAGTTGTAAAAGTGAAATATTGAATTTGTTTCATGCCAAATTTAAAAAAATCTAAATTTAAAATACATTTTTTAAATTAAATTTTACATTACATTTTTTTTTTTTTAAACGTAAAATTAAAATTGAACTATACCCAGCATTTTTGTCTGAGGCATTATGTACGTATAGTATGTATTGCTTTTGAACCAATTTTACCACAGAGTCTTTACAGTTTTTGATATTCTTCCACTGATTTCTGTACAACTATTCATTGAAACTGCTGATGGTCTTTTATTGTGTGTCAAACCTGGCTCTAAATAGCATGTAAAAACAAAACAAAAACTGTGGTTTGGTCGGTTTACAGGTCGGACAGGTGGTCATTCATAACAAAACTTTTAATAAAATAAAATGTAATAATTGAATTTTTAAATCAAATTCACTTATGTTCTCTACATTTCAATGCAAAAAATGAGATCACTGGAATAAATTACATTTTTAAATATATATTTAAATAGAAAACAGTTATTTTAAATTGTAATACTGTATTTTTACTATACCGTATACCATATACCGTATATGTACTGTGTTTTTACTGTATTCTTAATCAAATAAGTTTAGCAATACAATGTTGTGATGTCTAAATTTTATTTTTATGTTTATTTAGACAAAATAGTATCAAATTCTGTTTTTTTTTTTTATTGTTATGTCTGGCCATAGCATGAAAATGATTATCAGTCAGAATATTAATATTATCCATCTCTTCTTATGCAGTTAGTCTGGCTGTGTGAGAATAACGGGATACACACCTCTCAATCGCTTTATGGATCCTCCTCCACTGAGGGTAGTTGGCTTCCTGTTCAAATCCTCCTCCGCGAGCTTTAGCCTGCTGCGCTACAGCTATAGTCCGCGTGTCGATGATGTAACCTCGCTTCCCCGCGCAAAGCGTGGCATTGATCAGCTTCTCGTCCTCTTTGCAGCGCCGTCCATTGGTTCCTGTTAGTGGCTGTGCTGCTCGCATAATCACCTGTGGACAGTGTGATCAGAGTTGGTTTTAAACAGGCCAACATTTGGAAACAAAATTTCCATAGTGCACTTCTTCTAACCATGCCGTTTTTCTTGTGGTAGTAGCTGAGCACAGGGAAACGGCCTCCGTGGCGGAAGGAAGCAGCTTTGCAGAGACTTTCATCATCGATGTCTCTGGGCACAGTCAGTAGGGACGGGTACGAGGGGCACACGCTGAAATCTTTATTTACCTCACTCAGTCTCCATTCATCTGTCTGAGAGAGGACAACAGAACTCCGTGTCATCTTTATTTAATTAGACACTTTATTTTTTTTAATGAAAATAACAAAAATCACAAGTAAAAATTTTTCTGCTTCAATGTATTTTAACTACATCTAAACCAAAAGAGGTTTAAAATCAACTGATATACTGTTCACTACCACTCAAAAGTTGGGGTGAGTAATTTTTTTTAAGAAATTAATCATTTTATTTAGCAAGGATGCAATAAATTGATCAAGCATGACAGTCAAGACATCTATAATGTTAGAAAAATAATAATTCACATAAAGAGCAAAATATTACTATTATATTAAGCAGCACAACTGTTTTCAACATTGATAATAATAATAAATGCTCTTTGAGCCCCAAATTAGCATATTAGAATGATTGCTGAAAGATCACATGACACTGGAGTAATAATGCTGAAATTTCAGCTTTGCCATCACAGGACTAAATGACATTTTAAAATAAATAATAATAGAGAACAGTTGTAATTATATTTCAGAATATTATTATAGTGTTATTGTATTTTAATGAAATAAACACAGCTTTGGTGAGTATAAACAACATTTAAAAAACCTTACTGACCCCAAACGTTTGAACGGGAGTTTATGAAATACTAACTGTATTTGTATTAAATTGGATATCAGAACATGAAGTCACGAATATGTGCTCTTTGGCTTCCCATAGAGAATCATCTGAAAAAATGAGCAATGATACACTGAGAAACTGTATTACAACTTTTTCTGATGACCTCAATGTCAAGGCTTCCAGGGATAAAACAATACCATAGACTCCAGATCTTTGAAAGACTCCTCTGGGACAAACGACTGCCATCCATCCTCAATGACCTCAAACAAAGGACGGTAGAAGAACGGATACATCAGGGACACAGAGTCCAGCGTGGAGAGAGCCTGAAAAATGAATGATCATAAACTGAACACTAACAGCATAAACCAATTAGTAGAAATTAGGGTTATTAGTCCATTATTATTCGGCTTTATGAGTGAGTACTAATGCGGTCTTACTTCAATTGAGCTGGCAATATTAAGACACTCCTCCATGCCAGGTATGTCCAGCTGAATCACCCGCAGGTCCTTACACTTTACAATAATAGTTCCCAGTGATCCGACAAACCTGTGCACATTAGGTCAGTAAGATGTTTTTGATAGAAGTCTCTCATGCTCACCAAGGCTGCGTTTATTTGATCAAAAATGTAGTAAAACCACTAATACTGTGAAATAGCATTACATTTTAAAAGTGTCATTTCTATAGTTTTAAAATGTAAATTATTACTGTGATGTCAACGCTGATTTTCAGCAGGCATTACTCCAGTCTTTAGTGCTCCATGACTCCTCAGAAATCATTCTAATATGAGAATTCATATTATCATCAGTGTTGAAAACAGTTGTGCTGCTTTTTTTCTTTTTTTTTTTGTGTGAAAACATTGATACATTTTTTTCAGGATTCTTCAATGAATATAAAGTTCAAAAGAACAATTTATTTGAATCATATCTTTTGTAACATTATACATTTCTTTACTGTCACGTTTGATCAATTACATGCATCCTTGATTAATAAAAATATATATGCGAGTCGTGACCCTGGACCACAAAAGCAGTCTTAAGTCGCTGGGGTATATTTGTAGCAATAGCCAACAATACATTGTATGGGTCAAAATTATCGATTTTTCTTTTATGTCAAAAAATTATTTGGATATTAAATAAAGATCATGCTCCATGAAGATATTTTTTAAATTTCCTACCGTAGATATATCAAAACTTAATTTTTTATTAGTAATATGCATTGCTAAGGACTTCATTTGGACAACTTTAAAGGCGATTTTCTCAATATTTTGATTTTTTTGCACCCTCAGATTCCAGATTTTTAAATAGTTGTATCTCCTCGGCCAAATATTGTCCTATCATAACAAACCATGCACCAATTGAAAGATTTATACATCACGAAAGCTTATTTATTCAGCTTTCAGATTATGTATAAATCTCCATTTTAAAAAAAATTTACCCTTATGACTGGTTTTGTGGTCCAGAGTCCCATTTATTTTTATTTTACTGACCCTAAACTTCTGAACAGTTGTGAAAATGACAGAAATTGTATTTTAAAATAATATGCCATTTTTACTAGTTGTCTCATACTTCAGCAGTACCTTTTTTCAGTAGAGTCAATGTTAGCATGAAGCAGCCAGAGCTCCTCAGTGTTGTCCTGGCGAGAAGACAAGATGAGGTGATGTCCTGTCAGACACAGAGTTCCCTCCACAGTGGGCATGAAGGGTCGGCGGAGGACCACCCCATCCACACGAGGGGTTTTGATCAGCTCAGCAAACTCCATGATGTTTTGAGAGGTACAAGAAACCTGCGAGAGTCAATGGGAGAGGAAACACTGATATATATGAATACTGTAATGCAATCTACGTCTTAGTCTCATTATTAGGTTTCTTATTATTCTGTTATTTGCATTCATCTGACAACTAAACCTATATAATAGTATGATAATAGTAAAAGCAATGGTGATACACAGTTGATAAGAGGTTTGTTATTATTAATATGTTGCAGCGGTGGATTTCTCATCTGCTGCAGGTTGGAAAACAAGACGCAAGCATTGAGACAGCGGTAAAAAAATACCACATTCGTCTAATTTACTCGAAGGCGCATAACTAAACCAGACACGTGTATTTATAAACAGTTATTCTAGCATATTCAAGGTATCTGTCCAATTTCTCTCGGCTCGCTGTGTCATCAGACTGAAATATGACAACAAACGGGATTTGCAGCTTTGTGTCGAATCAACATGAAGACGTTCGGATTAAAACTAATCAAATGCACTCGACAATGAACCGCAGGTGCGATGTTATTTGTCAAGAACAAAATATGCTTTTTAAACGTACTTAGAAGAGATGACAGCGGTAACAACAGCATTTCTCTCACCTGACACCTCTACTTCCTCGTTTGCACTCCTTTGTTGGATTTGACAACCGACCGCAAGCTAATTTTAATCAATATCGCCACCTACTGGTTTGGGTGAAAGTGAGGGAGAGTGTTGAATATTCTCACTCATCCTCTTCTCAATAAAAATACAAATTAAAATAAAAAATTGGAATATTATTTAGTAATTAGGGTGCATGTATGTAATATAAAATATAGGTTACACTTTATTTTAAGGTGTCCTTGTTACAGTGTAATTATACATTTAAAGGGATAGTTCACCCAAAAATGCAAATTTGATGTTTATCTGCTTACCCCCAGGGCATCCTAGATGTAAGTGACGATGTCACCTATCTCTCAAATGGACCATTGACACTCCTAACTGAGATTGTAGATAGAGTGTCAATAGTCCATTTGAGAGATAATTGGCGGTAATGCACTTATAAGTCTGCGATCCGCCTTAAAGTCAAATCAAGTCAAGTCTGCTTTATCGTCAATTCTTCCACATGCACAGCACATACATACAGAGAATTGCAATTGTGTTACTCTCAGACCCTTGGTGCATACAGATAACACTAACAGCAGAACATAAAATACAGATAGATACAGATTAAATATAAAATACAACTATACAAATAAGGTAATGTAAAAAAATAATTAAATATTTATAAATTAATAAAAATAAAGCGGCACAAGGCACATGGCAGATAGAGTGCAAGCCAGTGAAGTAAACAAACAGTGCAGATAGTATGATTGTAGTGAAAAAGAGCTTATTCAGTCTGATTAAAGTGACAAAAAGCTCAGAGAGCAGTTCTTTATTTAAACTGTCAGAAGAGGTAGTTGAATGAGGTCAGTTCAATGATGAATGAGGTAGTGAGCAGACCAATGCTGCACAAAGTGACTAGTGCAGGTCCCAGTGTGTTAGTGTGAGGGGGGAGTGGAAGGATCTGGGGATGTGGGAGCTGGTGGGGGGGTGGTCTGAGGTTCAGAGTGAAATGGGTTCCATAAATATCCTGGAGGGAGGGGAGAGAGACACCAACGATCTTCTCAGTTTGCGGAGGAAGTAGAGACGCTGCTGTGCTTTCTTGGCCAGTGCTGCGGTGTTGTCAGTCCAGGAGAGGTCCTCTGTGATGTGCACACCCAGGAACTTTGTGCTGCTCACTCTCTCCACAGTCGCACCATTGACCGTCAGAGGAGCATGCTGAGTGCACACTCTCCTGAAATCATCTTCTCCACATTCAGAGAGAAATTGTTGTCACTGCACCACCCGGCCAGGCGGCTCACCTCGCTCCTGTAGTTTGTCTCATTTCTGTTATTAATGAGACCCACCACAGCCGTGTCATCCACAAACTTAATGAAGAGGTTGGAGTTGTGTGACGGTGTGCAGTCGTGTGTCAGCAGAGTGAAGAGGAGGGGGCTCAGCACACATCCTTGGGGGGCCCCAGTGTTCAGTGTAATGGTGCTGGATGTGTTACTGCCGACCCGTACTGCCTGAAGTCTTCCAGTCAAGAAGTCCAATAGCCAGTTGCACAGCGAAGTGTTGAGCCCCAGCTGAACCAGTTTGTGAATGAGCTGTTGAGGGATGATTGTGTTGAATGCTGAACTGAAGTCTATGAACAGCATTCTGACGTATGAGTCTTTTTTGTCCATAAAAGAGGGCAGGGCAGACTTGATGTGGTGCATGACTAGCCGTTCAAAGCACTTCATGAGAATAGGGGTAAGTGCAACTGGACG